GAAAACTAGCTGCCTGTGAATGCTGGGACGGGCGGAGTCACCATGGTGATCTGCACGCCTCCAGCTGTGTGCATCTGGTGAGGTCTGGGGTGGATTTGCTGATGCTGATACAGCCCACACATCCAATACAGTCCGCACGTCCATACTGACCGATACAGCCCACACATCTGTACTGAGGTCCCACACTGTAGGCAGAGCTGACTGTTCCCAGGTGTGCCACTGTCTCCTCTCCACTAGCGGCCCTGGCCCTCAGCTTTGCCTGACAGTCCTCGGGATGACCCACCCAGCCACCATTCCATCACTGCCGTGCAGCTTTGGTCTCACAGAACCCCTGCCACTTAGCCCCCCAACCCCATGTCACAGCCCTCTCACCCTGAATCCACAGACAGGCACCTTCCCCAGTCTGTTTTAACCCAGTGATGTCATCCAGACCTATAGGCTTTGGCTTGCCATTGGACCATCCCTCCAGCTGTCCTTCCAGCCCCTCCCCCCCATACCTCAGCCTTTGCTTAGATGCCTGCCTGTATGCCTCCTCCAGCTCACGAATGCTGTCATTTGTCACCTGCTAAGAGGCCAGCCCTGCCCACCGCCCACCTTTGCAGACCTGCTCCCTCTGCACTCCACCTTTGACCTTGCCCTCCTAACAGGAGCTCCATTCTCACAGTCAAGCTTGGCTCCTCGACCCCCACTGTTGTTTCTGCTCTGCTTATGGCCTGAGTTCTGTTATTACCAGAGCAGACTTAGAGGTTTGGGCTCTGCCAATTCAGTCCACAGGCACCGCAAGTTCCAAGCTCAGTGCCACAGCGTATCGTATCTTCAGTGTGAGATTCCGCTCCGGCTGGTTTTCCCAGCCCCATTCTTCTCCCTGGCACCGCAGCTGGCCCCTCCTGTGCACAGCCTCCTTGCTTTGAGGATACCAGGGTACTGTGTGGAAACTGCACGTGGTCACACACCTACCCCGTCACATGGAACAGCTACACAGCTATGCCTAAGCAGAACACACACACAAACATGCACGAACACACAAACACATACACGTACGTGTCTACATGTCACGGTCACAAACATGCACCTGCACACCTAGCTTGAAATCATTTTCTTCTCTTTTTTCATTGAAGGACAAAGCAAAACAGCAGCTAGGCCTCTCATTTGCCATGCCCCTCCGTCTCACCTTGAACGTTTCTCATCTCTGATGAGGTGCTTTGACCTCTCTTTAGCTCCACGACTGTGGCTCATCTCCCCTGTCCACACCCACACATCCCAAACCTTTGTACACACGTCTCGTCTCCTCTGCCTCCTACTTCTGTTATTTCTAGCCCTACCCAAGGGCATTGTGCTGGTAGATTTTGGGTGTCACCGCTGGGGACACAGGAACAGTTTCTAGGCCAGGAAACTTCAAAACATGTGGTCACTCACTCAGCCGCCACCTCCAGCTCAAAGACCCCGGGTAGACCCAGAGAAAGGGCGGCAGGAACCCCACCTCAGAAGGTCGACTGGCTGAGGCTCCATGTAGAGATCATAGCTGGACCTGAGCACCCATCACCAACCCCAGTTGCACTGCTCTGGCACTCACATTGCCTCAGGGTCACCAGACCCCACAAAGAAGTCTGGAAAGGGCTGTTGGCCTATTTGCTTCAGGAATCTGGTAGCCTGGTGACCTGGCAGAGGGTGGCTCCGGCGGGGGACCTGCCCTCACTGTGACAGTTGCTACCCGACATGGTCTCCACAGCAGGAGCTCACTGCCTAACCACAGTTTCCCCCTCATTCCCTCATTGCTCTCCAGCAACCCATGCCAATGGACCACCTCACCAGCCCTTGGCTCTGGGCATCTGGACAGCAGCACAGGAGGCTTCCAAATGGCAGCCCCTCCACCTCAGGCCTGCTCTCCCCCTGCCCCCGCCACCAGCCTCATGGTGGTGGAATGTGTTTCCTGAAGCTCAGATCACATGTCCGTAAACAGAGAAACTACTTCCCCTACCACTTGAGACCAAAGGCCCGGCTGCTTCTCTTTATTCTCCAGTGCCCAGGCAGGGGACCGCCAAGGCAGGAACAGGATGGACAGTTAAAGGGAGGACCATGCCACGCTTAGGTGCCCTGCCCACACAGACCTGCTGTTCACAACCACCATCTATTCTCAGGTTCACCAAAAGCACACCTTTCTCCTGCACCACACAGCCTCGCCGATCTTAAGGAAACACGTGCGTGGCAGGGGACGTTGGGAGCAGACAGATACAGTGCCAAGTAGCAGCAGCGTGGAGGAGAAGAGGTCCCTCCCTCATGGGAGCTGACCCACAAAGAGCACAGAGAAGTTCCAGCAAGAGACACCCAAAACGGGAGTAGCCAAGGAGAGCAGTGGGTCCTGGAGCAGGCAGCGCCTGCCCGGCTCCCCGGAGCAGCACTGTGGGAGTGGCAGGACCACTGCAGGAAATGGACAGCCTCTTCCGTTCAGATGCAGCTCTGCACCAAGGCAGGGGATGGCCCCAACGTCCCCTAGAGCAGGGTCACCTGTCCGGATCAGACCACGTGCTGAGAGTGTGGTGACGGAAACCTCTCCTCCGGGGTCTTTACTTTTCTTGGCATCGGGCAGTTTGAGAGGTTCATTTAGCAGGACCATTATTTTCTGGATGGCCTTTGCCACCAACACTGTCCAGATAGAGGAGAGCCGGCAGGCCAGGCCTGGCCGTACCTTTGACTTTTAAAACGCTGCAGGAAGTGCTGTTAACGGAGATATCCTCGGCCAGGCCTCTGGAGGGTGGACATTGCCCCTATGCTGAAATGGCAGTGTTGAGGCCCCAGTGCTCCCACACACACACACACACCGGTAGCCTCTGGAAAGACTTCTGGAAGGAAACCCCACCCTCAGCAAGCTGAAGGTGGTGCATACCTTCTCGCCTGGGTTGGCGGGGGCGGGGGGTGTCAGGCCATCAGCACGACTCAGGGGCCATTCACCTTGACCTTGGACCGATACATGCTCACGGCCGATCTGGAGTGGCCAGCCCTGGTGTGATGAGACATGGGGCCTAGTCAGTGCCGTTACAAGCCTTTTTCCAAACCAAAGTGCACTCAGGGAAATGTGGGTGTCGAGGTCAAACACACAGCAGAGACTCTCCCTGGAGCTCCTCGCCGACGGGAGGTGCTCCCGGCGCTCTGTCCACACAGGAGTGCTGCCCCGTGCTGTGTGCGCATGCGTGGCGTGTGTGCCACCACGGAGCGGGTGCACCCGGAGGCTTCCATTCTCAGACGTCTTGGGGTGGTTTGAGTGACATCTAATCACTACTCTGCCAGCTCTGCATCTGGGGTGTCTCTGGCTTCCCCCGGGGGTGGGACTGCAGAGAGGTGGAGCAGTTCTTTAACCTTCCCTCCCATCTCCTCTACTCTAGCACCTGATGCGGAAGGTGGGGGGGGGGCACCGTGCCCCATGCACTGCTCTGCTGCTCACGGAGCACTCTCTGCCAGGGGAACGCCACACGTGCCACGCATCGGCCGTGCCATGCTGATGCTCCCTGTGACGGAAACAATGGGGTTGTGATTGCTACTGGCTGGTGCTTGCAGTGTGTCAGGCTCTGGGCTACCCGATCTGTAACCCCCAGATACCTATGAGTATGAGGGATACACTCAGAAACGTGGAGTCAATTACCTAAGGCGCTGAGAAGCAACAGGGTACCCAGCCAGAGGCTGTGTAAAGGGTGAGATTTACACCCTGAGAGCAAGGGCCGGGATCAAACTTGGACCCGGGGAAGAGGTGGCTTCAGAGATGCTGTTGGAGGAAGGTAGACCGAGGGGCTGGAGAAGACCAGAGGCCACAGCCATCCGGGAAAGTTAGAGCTGTGGGCCCCGGGGCTTGGTTTAGAGCATGATTGCCGGGCCTAGTGTGACGAGGAGAGAGAGAGGCAAAGTACGGGGGATGGAGGGGGCTGTGGGCTGCCATTTCCTACAGGTCCAAGTCAGGTGTGTTAAGACTGATGTGGGTAGACTGAGTCTCAGGTGCTGGTTACCCCAGGAGTGGAGCTAGAGAGAGGCCCTTGAATAGATTAGGAACTCTTGTCTGCCTTGGGCCTTCTACTAAGAGCCTGCCATCAGGGAAGCGAACATTAGATGGGTTATGTAGTCCCTGCAGCACGATAGCCAGGCGAAGACAGATCAGAGCATAGAGGGCAAAAGATGTGCCATTCTGAGCCCCTCCCCCAGGGCAGGGGCAGATCTGAGCCTCCTGCTGGAGACCTGCCCCAACCACCCAGTGGGTCACAGAGGTACCCAGAAGGTAACCTTCTGCCAGGTGGTCAGCAGGTGTCACCGGCTCCAGCTGTGAGTCCAGCTGTTCCTCACTTAGGAACACTTAGGGTCTGGAAAGGATTCAGCCCGAGCCTAGGTAAGACCTGAGCAGGGCAGCCGTGCCTAGACCCGGTGATTTCCGGTTTTCTGAGAGCCTTCCTGACCTCTCCTGCCCGCCCGCCTTGCCCCATGGTGCCCCCGTGTGCTGATTCAACCCCAGGAAGGGACAGCAGGGACAGAGCTCCACCCTGACATACCGTACACAGTCTGTGTGTCTGGCCCAGTGAGACCAGAGGTGGCCCCGAGTCTAAAGGGGTGAAAGTTAGGAGATAGCCAGTTTTCCCCAGCCTTCTTTAGGCAGGGCCACAGCCAGGCTGCAGAGTGGGGCTGAGAGCACCGAGTATCCTGGAATAGGGGACCCCCATGGCAGGGTTGTGCTGTGGAGTCCCAGCCAGACTCACGGGGGACTAGGTGGGCCGGGTCCAGTGGGCGGAGATGAACCCAGCATGGAGACAGCAGGCAGGAGCCCTGAACAGCTCACTTCTGTTCGGATCGGCAGAGTGAAAGGCATTGGCCAAACATGTTTGCTTTGCTGTGGGAGGGGCGCGAACCCTGAGGCAGTTGAGGGGCTGGGAGTTCATGGACTGTTGTTCTGTTTCCTGAGGCCCAGCGGCTGATCCCTCTTCCAGGGCCCAGGACGAAGCTCACACTGTTCTCTTTTTCGTTAGGTGAAGGGCCGGATGCGAGGCAGGGAGCTGGAGCAGCCTGAGGCAGGGGGGCCTCAGGGGTGCTGGGCCCTCCAGCCGCGCCTGGAAGCATCATCGCCACAGCAACCAGCAAGCAGACAGCAGTAGCCTGGGCAGACACTGCCTGGGCAGACGCAAGCCGACAGCTACCTACCCGTGGCCGAGTGCAGGGAATGACTGCGGCAAATCAGGCCACGGTGCCGACCAGGGAGGTGGAGTGTCACTAGAGGGGAGGGTGTGGTCTCTGCCCCACCACCCTGAGCGCCATGCCAGCAGGAGAAGAGGGGCTGGGGCAGGGATCACCGTGTGACATGGCCTTGCCCCAAAGCCAGTGCTGAGCGCTCCCCTGCTCAGCTGCCCCTCTCCCGTCTGCCTGTCACACCAGCCCTCACCGTGACCTTTCTGTTTGGTGGCAAGGGGGAGAGTCCCGCCTTCTGCATCTTGGGGGAGGGGGCGGGCCTGCTGCCGCCGGCCGGACCATGGGATGTCGGCAAAGCTCAGAGGAGAAAGAGGCGGCGCGGCGGTCCCGGAGAATTGACCGCCACCTGCGCTCCGAGAGCCAGAGGCAGCGCCGGGAGATCAAACTCCTCCTGCTGGGCACCAGCAACTCGGGCAAGAGCACCATCGTCAAGCAGATGAAGATCATCCACAGCGGCGGCTTCAACCTGGAGGCCTGCAAGGAGTACAAGCCCCTCATCATCTACAACGCCATCGATTCCCTGACCCGCATCATCCGGGCCCTGGCCGCCCTGAAGATCGACTTCCACAACCCAGACCGCGCTTACGACGCGGTGCAGCTCTTTGCACTGACGGGTCCAGCGGAGAGCAAAGGGGAGATAACGCCAGAGCTGCTGGGGGTCATGCGGCGGCTGTGGGCTGACCCCGGGGCCCAGGCCTGCTTTGGCCGCTCCAGCGAGTACCACCTGGAAGACAATGCGGCCTACTACCTGAACGACCTGGAGCGCATAGCGGCGCCCGACTACATCCCCACAGTGGAGGACATCCTGCGCTCCCGGGACATGACCACGGGCATTGTGGAGAACAAGTTCACCTTCAAGGAGCTCACCTTCAAGATGGTGGACGTGGGTGGGCAGAGGTCAGAGCGCAAAAAATGGATCCACTGCTTTGAGGGCGTCACGGCCATCATCTTCTGTGTGGAGCTCAGTGGCTATGACCTGAAGCTCTATGAGGATAACCAGACGGTGAGTAAAGCCTAGGTTTCTCCTGTTTGGTCCTGGGAAGCAGATGGACTCGCTTGCGAGAGCGGAGACAAGCTCCGTCCAGATCTGTTGCTGAGCCCCAGCACCAGACGCTAAAAGACGGGGGGCCTTTGGTAGTTCCGTGAGATGAGGTGAGCGTGTCGCTTGCGCTCGGGGGAGTATACAGTGGAGCGCCGTGAGCTTGCGCGTGACATGAGGCTTCAGAGCTTCGAGTTAAGAGCCCCAGTAGGCAGGGTCGCCATGGCATCCCATGAGATCTCAACCTCCCATGACCCCTCCAGCCTGAGGGGCATCACTTTGAGCTAGAATGACTCTGCTCTGAGACCTTCCAAATAACACCCCCAGGCTGCACAGAGCTCCCCCCAACAACCCCTCCCTTATCAGCCATGACGTGCAACACATGCACATTTGGGACCTTCCTTGTACTCTTGTTGGCTCCACTGTCCTCCTGGCCTCAGAACAGGGACTAAGCATGGCTGTGCCTGTGCCACATGCTGAGGACGTGCAAGGCAAGGCCTGGCATGGGCAGTAGCGGTGGTCCGCAGGTCAGTTTAACAAGGCCGTTAAGCTCCTACCAGCACCGAGAACAACGACCCCCTCCCCCACAATTCCTTCTTGACCTGAAGAGTCCACTGGTGGTCTGGCTTAAAAAGGGGTAGATCCAGGGCCTGGCCTTGGGCTTTGTGGGTACGCTGTAGAGCCATTGTTGAGGTTCTTTGAATCCTAGACTTAAAGCCAGTGTGTGACAAGGAGCATTAGAGGAGAGAAGGCACCTGAAGGAGACCTGGGTCTGGCGGTTAGCTGGTAGGGCTTGGGGTCGGGGGAGAGCTTTGAAGAAACAGGGAAGCAAGCGTAGGCCTTTTGCATGGAGAGGGTGGCCAGCACGCTAGAGCTGACCGAGGCAGAAGGCTAGATGCCCAAGCTACCTACACTCGTCCCGGAAGCGGCAGCACTGGGAGTCTGATACACAAACGGTAGTGGTCTATGCCAGAGCTATAACTCAGAAGAGTGGCTGTGCCAGGCGGGGATACTAGATAAAGCCCCTTACAGACGCCATGGGAGCTGGAGGGGAGTCCTCTAAGAATGCCTGAATGGGGCTGTGAATGCCCGAACCGTGGTGCCCAGAGGAAGGGATCGACACCAGAGAGAGACCTGTGGACACGTGACCTCCACAGTGCTCTAAGACACGGGTCCAGCCTCTCCGCTTTGGAACACTGTTCTCCAAGGTTGATGGCAGTGATGGAGCTTCTTCCTTCATTGGGTCTTGTTAGGGCAAGGGGTGACCATTCTTTGAGTTCATCCAAGGACTCTAACTGTGGGCCTGTGTTCCAAGGCTGTCTGTGGAAGGCTGAAGGCTCTGGCCACAGTTATGGATGACGGAGAGCTCTGAACATAGAGAAAGCCTGTAGCCTGCTCAGGTGGCCACAGAGACAGAAGGCAGGGCTGTCTTCCTCTCCTCCCAGCATCTGAGCACCCTGGAAACCGTGCCAAGTACTGACGGGATTCCCAGTGGATGAGGTCATAAGCTGTAGGTGTAGGTGGCCCTGTTGCTGCCTTGGTCAGCTTCATGCCCAGGCTGTGTCTGTCTGTAAGTGAGTGATCCTTGGCATTCTGGCCCATCGGACTTTTCTGGCTGTCCCCAACTCCAGCATCGTATGCTTGTAGCTAGAAGCATCATCCTAACGGATGAGAGAGACAGCACTGAGGCCAGAGTGTGGGGTTGACCAGTTGTCAAGCAAAGCCCAGTGCCTGGGGTTGGTTTGGGGCAGCTATAAAGGAAGGTGTGCTGCCAATCACAGAAGCTCTCTATAGTTCTATGTACTTCTGCTGACAAGAGACCTCCCACAGGCCTCTCAAGGCCAGCTCTGATGGCCTCACCTACCATCTCCAGGGTGAGCATGGTGGATTCCCTTGGGACCAAGCTCTCAGGCCCACCTTTTGCAGGCTGTGCCCACAGGTGTACCTGGATCCAGCAGGCAGGAGGCTTGGTCCCTGCATCTCAGGACCAGCTCTTCCCTCTGAATTTGTCATCAGAAAGCAGCCCCAAGCTTTCCTGGCTCTCCCTGGCCCTTACCCACCATCCTCTTCTCTGTTCATGCTGTCAGCAGTGTCTCTCTGTCCATCCTACAGTTCACAGGCATCCTGCTCTATCCCTCTCCCTCCACACATCAGGACCAGTGCTAATCTCAGGCAAACCTTGACTGGATGCCTTCCCTGGCCACAGCTCGGAGCCTGCACACTCTCTCTGAGGGCTTTGTCACAGGATGGATCAATGCTCATGTGTAAGCAAGGAGCTCCTGGGGACAGGCCCTAGAGGACTGAGCTGAGCTCTGTGGCCTCTTATCTCTAGCCTTTCTTCAGGCCCATCTCTGCAGGGATTTCAGTGAGGCCTATGCTCACCTCTTGCCGAAACCAGGCTGAGTCTGGCCAGGGCCATCTCCTCAAGGGAGGCGGTTGAGGCTGAGCCTACATGCGCATATTCATTATCATTCATTTCCCCTTCTCCCTCTCTCCTTCCTCTACCCCTTCTCCCTCCTTCTCTTCCCCTCTCCCCCTGTCCCTCAAGCTCCCTCTTTTTTTCTCTCTCCCTCTTTCTCTTTCCCACTTTCCCTACCCCCTCTCTTCTCATCCCCATGGGCCTGAGGAAGTAGTGCTGTTCACCAGAAAAGGAAATTCTTGACGGAAAACCCTAGCAAAGCTGGAAATTCACTGGATTCCAAATGGTTCTGACCTTTCATGCTCCACCAGTAATATCTGACGATAGAAAACAGACAGGCCGCTGAGGAAAGACAATACTCTCCTGTGATTTCTGCCACCCGCTGCCCTGGCTGTGCCAACCATGAGCACCTCTCACCTCTCCCTCCAGCCACATGCTGAGAGAGCTGCCACCAGCTGCCAACCACCCCCCCCCCCTCCACTCCTCCTCCTCCTCCTGGAATGCCTTAAAAATCCAGCCCCAACAAGGACTCAGGCAAGAACAGATCACACTACTTTTGCAAAAGCTCAATGAAGTTTAGGGCCAGCGCCAGGGCTGTACACACAGCCCCTCAGAGCTCTCCTTCCCTGCTCTGCTCCACGGCCCTCCTCTTTCCTCTCACAGAGGCTGGTGGAGCACCCCACCCCACCCCATCCCCATGCCTGGAGAAGAAGCCACCGCCCCACCCCCACCCCCAGCCCGCCCGCTGGTTTCTGCGTCAGCGTGTTGCCAAGGAGAGCTTCAGCATCTCCAGGCTTCCGGGCGGGAGGGCTGCAGCCAGCACAGGGCAGCACCTTGGAGGTGCGGGTTTCCGGGGCATCCTCGAGACAGAGCAGCAGGCACATGCGCGGAGCCACCCCACGGGTGTCCATGATCTGCCATCCCTAGCAACTGATGGGTCTCCACACTGACTGGGTCTCAAACCTCCTGGCAGCCTTGACAGGCAGATGGAGACTGCAAACCCAAGTGGGCTTCTGGTGCTCTGTTTGGTGTGCTCCTGGATGCCACCAGAGGTGGACACACCCCAGGGCCATGTGGGGACCTAGTGAGCCGGCAGAACTCGACTGCCTGCCCTGCAGGAGCCCTCGGGAGCCCCTGGTCCTGTGGAAGGTGGAAGGAAGCAGGCACCTGCCATCCAGACTGCCCCTTTGCAGATCAGCTAATGGATGCTGGAAGCCACTTAATGGTGGGGGGACACTTTAGAAGAGACAGATTAAAAAGTGGAGCTCTAAAGCCCCATAGTGGCCTGTCGTGTGCCTGCTGTGCCAATACAAGGCCTGATTGGAGTGACGGACTGGGAACCACAAGCAGACACATGCCGAATCCTGCTCACACACCTTGACTATGGGGGAAGGGCATACACAGCTCCCTTAATCCTCACAAGCCCTTAGGCTGCCAAGGACGCCTGCCCCTTGTCCAGAGCTAGTAGGCATGGTTGACAGGGTTGTTCCCCCGTTTGCTTCCATGTGGGATCGAGGGCAGCCTCTTGAGCCCCACAAGTTAGGCTGAGCTGCGGTGAGGCTCACCAGTGGGAGGCCTCACGCTCACTGGACAGGTACCTGGTCAGCAGAATCGAGGAGCCCGTCCGGGTGCAGAATATTCCTCCGGGCTGAGGTGCAGGTTCTGCAGGTAGGGGAGGGTGTAGCAGCCAGACCCCAGGCAGGCAGCCCAGGGCTCTCCCCGTATCCTAAGTTCCCAGGGCAGCCGCAGTTCCCAGTTCTGAACAGGTCAGACCTAGCATGCCAAGGGCAGGCCAGAATCCGCATGGGAAGAGCTAGAGACCAAGGACCCCCTTTTAGCTTGTCTAAGGGAGATCCTGTGGGTGCTGACCCCTCTCGGGTGACCCCAAAGGAAGGGACGAGCCTATGAGACTGGCCTGAACCACAGTCTGGACCTGCTGCCAGAGCCACACACCTTCTCCTGTGTAGACTGACATGGGGGTTGTTTAGTTTCTGTTTAATGGAGTTTTAGTCCTGTGTAGTAGTAGCTCATGCCTGTGATCTCAGCTCTCAGGATTATCTTGAGTTCCAGGTCTGCCTGGGTGCTGACAGGAAATTTTTAGTGTTTTGCCTGCGTGTATGTGTTTGTATCACATGCATGCCTGGTGTTGTCAGAGGCCGAGAGTGGGGATCAGATCCCTGGGCACTGAGGTTACAGATGGTTGTGAGCTGCCAGGTGTGTGCTCGGAACAGAACCTGGGTTCTCTGCAAGAACAGCAAGTGCTCTTTTTTGTTTTCTCTAAAGATTATTTATTATGTATACAGTTTTCTGCCTGCGTGTGTGCCTGAACAGCAGAAGAGGGCACCACCATGGGAGCCCCCGTATAGATGCTGGGAATTGAACTCAGGACCTCTGGAAGAGCAGCCAGTGATCTTAACCTCTGAGCCATCTCTTCCAGCCCCATAACAAGTGCTCTTAACCATTGGACCATCTCTGTATTCCCTCAAAAAAAAAAGTTTAAGGAGTTTAAACCCAAGATAGTTACACAAGCCTGTAAGTCCAGCGC